GTAGTGCACGCCTGTAGTTCCAACTACTTGGAAGGAGGCCAGCAGGTTGACACTGGAGTGGCTGTGAGCATGCCACTGCACTCCGGCCCGAGCAATGGAGTGAGACTCCAACTCAAACCTCTCTTCTCCCAAAAAACCCCACATAATATTTTTACATGAGTAACTGGGCTAAGAGGAATAAGTTTGTAACCACCACTGTATTTTCTTATGTGATCTAGAACTTTCTATAAAAGGGAATTTTAAATAGATATTATTATCTACCAAGAGATGACCTAAGTCATCGGTTATAGATTCAAATTTAAAAATTTGCATCTTTATTATCACTGAGGATAACAATAGTTACTATTAATTATACTAACTCATTCATCATGCATTTATGTGCACAGTTATAGGTTGAGAGCCATTCAAATTGATTACAACTTGTCTCTCCCAAATAGATTAAAACAAAAAATACTAACATAGAAAATTATTGTTTGTCTTAAATTAGCTAGTATTCAAAGAGTCAAAAGACAGTTTCCATTTCTACTGTGAAACTTTACTTGGCTTTATTCAGTTTCTCTTAAAATGTATTCATTCAAAAAACACCTTCTTTTCATCTTTCAAGCTCTAGCACCAAAATCCACCTAGAGTTTCAGGATTCTTTTTCCAGCACATCAGCAATGGGTTAATGATGACATTGTCTGACAGTTCCTGGGTAACACAGCAAAGACAGATGGAACTAATCAAGAAAACACTGGCTCAGTCCAGAGCCAGTGTTATATAAGACAAGGCTCCTAAAAGGAAACTGGTAAAGTATCAAAAGTCCTGGCAAAAGGCATATTTTTAACTTTCATTTTTGGTGATGACAATGGGATATTGTTTGAACCCGATAGGAGAGAGTCAAATTCTACTAAGCCTTTGAAATTTGCATTCACACATGCTTACAGAAAACAGTCATTTTAAATTAAATGCATTACTCATGGTTCATAAATTCTAAGACAACACCCATGAAGTTCTCTTCATACATTTTCCCATCTTCTGTGAAATGCTCTCTTCAAAATTATAAGAAAACAAGCTATTTCTGCAATTTCACAGCAGGTATTTTGATTTGATGGTAATCGCTTTTCTTTACAATTTTCATGATTTTGCCATGATCTTTTGACAAATAAAAAAAGACAAGTGGACATCCACATGCATGTAGTATGCTAATTGCACATCCTCTGTGAGAAAAACATGCTTGTTTAAAAGTTATTGATTCTCTTAACCACAGAGTTCAAAGTAAAGGTGGCACGAACATCTAAATAAATATCAAGGAAGTGTCAAAGGTAACCAAGAAGGGACCAGGTGAAGTGTGAAGTGTTAATTGTATCTAAAAAAGTATAAAAGAATAGAAGAAAAAGACAGACATACTGAACTTCCAATTATCAGAATGTTGTCTTCTCCTAACACATTTTCAAACTTGAAAAGAACATTAAAGCCAGAGGAATTCGGAGTAGAGTACCCCCAGCTGTGTCCTTCAAATCTCACACTCTGTATGCAGTTTATTTAAATACAAAATAAAACTATGACTTACAAAATGCACATTTACGTCACAATACATGTATAATCAGTCTCCAAATGGCACAGCGGAGAAATGGAATATGAAATGAAGAATGAAGGAAAGAGAGAAGAGATTTTTTTGCATTTGTTTGATCTGGTACTAGGGACACTGTTTTAAAGAAGAGCAGAGCATGGCTCATTTGATAATCCTTATATTCAAGCACAAGCACTACATATAGGGAATCTGCAAAATTAAGATATTTCGTGGATAACGAATATACTATGAACAAACTTTGGCTCTGAGGGCAAAGCAGTGAGGCAAATGTGAGAAAACCTAACTTTGTAGAAGTTCACCAACAGAAAGCACATGAGGGGGACACCTTGCTATTGTGGACAGTACACGGAGTTGGGGTGTCAGGCTGGCCTTCTAAATTGCCAAAAGCTAGCTGACTAAGGCTGTGTGAGCCTCAGGTTCTTCATCTATAAAGTGAGAACAGAAATCCTGGAAAGGGCTATTGGGAGGATTAGGGATCACACAGCACAGTGTCTTACATGTAGAAGGTGCCCAACAAAAGGGAACCATCAGCTCTTATGCCATCTTCCTTTATGATCTTGTTTTTGAGTCTTCTCGAGGTGGAAAGATAGCACATCCCCAGTGGTCATGCAAGAGCTCACTCCTTTACTACTCTTGGGTGTAACCAAGCAATTGTATCTCTCCAGTTGTAGATAAGCCAACAAGAGATGAGAGCTATCCAGGTCTCCAGTTCTAGGCCGGACCTTCTTCCCAAACTTCAAGATGTGCTTTATCAATTGCGTACTGGATGCCTGCATTTAGAGGACCATGTGTTTCTCAAACTCCACTCTCCAATTCTGAGCCCCTCCTTTCTCCCATCCTTTGGTCTGCTGCATTTCTGATCTCAGTCAAGGAAATCCCCACTTATTTACTCACTGGAATCTGTGCTCAGGGTCATCAGCAATGACTCTACCTCCTTCTCCTCACTTCTGAGAAGCCACCTACTTCAGATGAGCCTACCTGCACCAAAGCCAAGTTTGCCTCCTCATGCCTTGCCCCTCCTTTTACTGTCCCACTACTGCACCCTTTCCCACAGCCCCAGCAGTGCTGCCCAGGCCTATAGGCCTCATTTTCCAACTCTTTGCTATAGCCCTGGAAGACAATCAACACACATGAGACTTCACCCTCATCTTTCCTCTCACAGTGGACTTCTTTGAAGGTAGAGACTGTGTCTATTGATCCCTGTATCTATGCCAGACCCAGGCCCAGAGTGGGTGCCCAAGAAAGTGGGTTAAATTTGTTGATCACAACTTTATACACATTATACGCTCACAATAAACTAAACTGAAAAAGGGAAATACCAGAAGAAATAGAGTGAACACCATGGGCAAATCCCCACTGGTGTCCTATCACAACAGAATACAGATGGAAAGTATGGTTTGGGTGGCATTTTATACTATAACTAGCATGTATGCACCTGCCATTCTTTGTGAACAGTAGCCATATGAAAGGGATAAGAGTAGGGATCATTATTCCTATTCTACAGGTGAGGAAGTTAAGGTTCAGAGAAGGAGAGTGACCTGTATAAGGGCACAGAGCAAAACCGGCAGAATGAGACTGACCCATGCATTTTGGAGTCCACACCATGACCCACCCCACTTCCCTGAGCTGAGGTTACTATGAGGATCTGAGGGCTAATAAAGCAGGTGATGTGCTCAGCACCAGGTCTGGCACAGAGCAAGTACTCAGGAAGTGGCAGTTGCTGCCATCTACACTGCCATTGCCCACTGCCCTGGATCAGATAGTGCTGGGGACAAGAAACATGTCTGACTCAACTCTGAGTTTCTGTCTCATCCCTAGCACAGAGCTAAGGACAGAGCAGTAGCTCTGTCAGTGTTGGCTGAGGATGGATGAAGTCAGCAATCAACTGACCACCACACCACAGCAGAAAGAGGCCCAAATTCAGGGCAGACTCTGGTTCTGGTACAGCTCGGACACTTTTAAGCTCAGAACACTGGGAAAATCACCTCACATTTCAACTCCCCAGTTTCCTTAATTGAAAAATGTGACTGATACTAGTATTTGTACCCCCGCCCTTTACAGTTTGTTGGAAGCCTTATGGAGGGCTTTGTGAACCACAGAGCGCTGAGCAAACAACAGTTACTACGCATTGCAGGATAAGGCTGGAACGGGGACAGGAGAGACAGAAGAGCTGCCGCCCAGCCTGGCTGGGGGGCTGGCGGTCTGTCTGTGGTCCAGTGTCCCTTGGCTCCCAAAACAAAACCCAGCAGTTATCAGGGCCTCGTGACTACAGGTCTCCACTTTGCTTGTATGGGGAAGCTGTGTGCGGTCAATCACAAGGGAAACCAAAATCAGAGAGAAAAAATGACAAAGGGAGAGAGGGAGAAGAATATAGAGGATCGAGTAGGTCAACGTGTTCCTGGAAAATAAAAGCTCCAAACAAGAACCAGCAGAATGGCAAAAAGGCAAACAGACAATCAAAGGCAAGAGAACAAAATGCAGGCCAGGAAGTCAGTGCCAAAGAATTGATTAGTCAAACATATGAATCTCTCATGCTGTAGCAGAAATATCACAGCCCAGGCTCCTCACTGTGGAGCCCTCTCCTCATAATGGGAGATATGAAGAGGCCAGGGAATAAAGCAACTTTCATTTTTCCTCCATGAACGCAGAGGGCCAGGCCCCATGAGGACCTCGCCTTGTGCTGGCTTCGAGGGGGAGCGTGGCCCCTGGCCACGGGAGTGGGGTGCGACTGAATGGGCTGGCACTCAGCTCACTTCACTTGAAAGCTCTGAGGCCTCTATAGATGCAGGTCTCTGGCAAGAACAGCATCCTGGGACTTGGACTTGGAGATTCAAATGAGGAAAGGTGAATGTCCTTCTCGGCATCGTGGGGACTAGAGTTCCTTCGCGTCTCTTTTCAGCACTCCTTCCTTGCTGCATTGGCCCACTGGCTATTCTGCAGCAAGCACCAACAGAGCATTGCAGACCCGAACAAAGCAGAAGTCGGAAGCCTAACAGACTGATAGAACTGGGAGATTCCCAAATGTGTGTGTGGGCCCTGAAAGGGTGTATATAAGTTTAGCCAGCCATGTTAAAGGATGGTAGTAACTTTGGAACAATGGAAGGAGGAGAGGAGAAGCAGATTGGAGACACCAGATATGGATTCAAACAGTAGCTTTGCCATTGATGGTTGTGTGATCACAGCCAAATTACTTCACCTCTCCAAGTCTCAGTCTTCTAAGCTAGAAAATGGGGATAATAATATATGCCTTAAGGGTTGCTGTGAGGATTAAATTAAATGAGATGGGAAGGTTTCTTTCTTTCTTTCTTCTTTAATCAAGTTCATATTTATTTTCCATTCTGAAAACATCCAATGTAGGAAAAATGGCCCCAGGCTTGAAATTAAATTTGGGCTTTTCACATAAATAGCTGGGGTCACATTGGTAATGTTTCTGTAAGGAGTATTTGGCCATAGAGACATTAGTCTTGCCCATTTCTTTTTTTGTTTTTTAAGTTCAATAACTTGGGGGATACAAATGATTTTTGATCTGGGCTTTAAGAGTACCCACCACCACCACCTGTGTACTTTGTACCCAGTAAGTAATTTTTTTATGCTCCTCTACCCCTTCCCTTCTCTCCCTTCTGAGTCACTAGTGTCCATTATACCCTTCTCTATGTCTTTGCAGATCCTTAATTTAGCTCCCACTTTTGAGTGAGAATATGTGGTATTTGGTTTTCTGTTCCTGAGTTAGTTCACTTAGGATGATGTTCTCCAATTCCATTCAAGTTGTTGCAAAAGTTATCTCATTCTTTTTGATAGATGAATAGGATTATATAGCATATATATATAGAGACATACACATATGTATATATATAGTGTATACATATCACTTTTTCATTATCCACTGATCAGTTGATGGACATTTAGGTTAATTCCACATCTTTGCAATTATGAATTGTGCTGCAATGAACATGTGGGTGCAAGTGTCTTTTTCATATAATAATCTCTGTTCTTTCTAGTAGTGGGATTGTTGTATCAAATGGTAGATCTACTTTTAGTTGTTTGAGAAATCTCCATTCTGCTTTTCATAGAGGTTGTACTAATTTACACTTGAGATGGAAAAGTTTCTGAAAGTGTGTCAGCCTCACAATCAGGTAACTGAGCTATGTGAAGAAAACATGTTGCTCTACTTGAAGACATTTCTGGTATTCTGGTGACTGGAGAACGAGCTACACACCTGTAGCTTTGCTCTTCTCTTCTTAGGGGTAGCTTCTCTGGTGACTCTGATTCTCATTGCAGCACAGCCCTCTTTATTTATTCCACATCCATGAGAATCAGCCTGGTACAGGGAAAGGAGATGAGTATTCAGAGTCAGAGACTCGGGCTGAAAGCCCAAGTCTACCACTGACTCATTGTGATAAAAGGTCCATTTCTAAGTTCTTTATATACATCATATGCATGTTACTGGAAATTTCAGGTAGGAATAGGTGGGTCCCAAGACATAGGTGAGATCACACAGAACTGATGTACTGAAAATTTCTCTATAGACTTGGGTGCTACACTTTAATTTTTTCAGTCAAGATCTCCACCTCTTTCCCTAGTTGCTAAGAAGACCAACAAAGGCCCAGGGACTGAGGATGTCAGAGCCAGAAGACTTCCTGCATTTCATCCAGTTCCTCTCTTCCTTTTACTGTTGGCAAAACAGAGGCTCATAAAATGAACTAGAAATACTGCTTTGGGTTAATGCTGCCCTGATATGGCTCCAAATTTAGCATACTAAGTCTTGCTCTTGATCACTGGTAGGAAGGAATTAGCTGGCTGCTTCATGGACAGGTTGGGCTGATCAATACAGCTAGGTTTACTGTGACTAAAAGGCAGATGACTATTAAAGAACAGTGTGAATATCCTTGTTGTTCATTCTCTCACCGCTGACCATGATGTCTGCTTGAGATCTTAGATGAGAACTTAAAAACATCCTCCCCTCTTTACTGTAGCCTTGCCCAACATCTATCCTCAATGGCTTTATTGTTTGAAGTGTTGGTAACTAGATTCGAAAAGGAGGAGTTTTTATTAAAACTCTTTCCCCAAGTCCGAAAGTCATTGGAAGGTTGGGCAAGGTATATTTCTATATTGTGCATGTGCATGTGCAAGAGAGAGAAGGGAGGACAGAGAGAGAGTGCGAGAGGTGGGGGGAGGGGGAGAGAGGGAGGAGAGAGAGAGAGAGAGAGAGAGAGAGAGAGAGAGAGAGAGAGAGACTGACTTTCTCTGAACATGACAGCTTAGTGTGGGATGTGTGAGACCAAGGTGGGTGATGAGGGTGTTTGTTGTTTGTTTGGGTCATGGACCCAGCATGGTTATCAGACCCTAAATGGAGCACTGAGGGCATCCATATGGATGGGATGGCAGGGGTGAGGAGGATATCTTAGCCAGGGAGCAGCCTGTCTCAGGGTGTCAGCATCTGAGGGAGCTGAGGAGGATATTTATGTGAGAGAGTGGTGGCGGTATGGGATGTTGGAAATCAAGTGTGGTTTAGAGGAATCCACATGAGAAGGGAGACAGCAGCAGGGGCTCAACGCAGCATGCTGGAGCCTGAGGTGAGGAAGGCATTTGTGTTAGAAGGTGGACAATGAAGGTCCAGCCTTGGGTGTCAGTAATAAGGAGGGTGGGGAAGGAGCATCTGAGTAGAGAAGGAGGCAGAGACAGTGAAAGAAGAATGGTTCCATAAAAAGAAATAAACAGATTAAGAAAATAGGGGCATGGGTTTTCATTTTCGTAGAACGTAGTCACAAATATGTAAAGGGAGAAAACTAGAATAATTTCCATGTTGTTTTGGAATTAGAGCCATTGTTGTGAACCTATGGCTTTTGATATGGGGAGACAGACAAAGAAATAAATAGAGATGTAAAGTGTCTATTGTGGGTATGGGTGTGTGTATTATATTCCCTGACTCTCAACACTGAAAGGGCCTGGCATCAGCCACACCAAGTAGCAGTGAGCACACCTGTGCCCAGATCTTGGTTTCTAAATACCATCCCCCACTAAAAGGAACCAGGGATCATAAGAAAGGGCAGGTTCCATATCTGAGACAGGAAATGTATAAGATGAAGCTGAGGCTTCTTGGCATAGTGGAA